TAGACTGTATGAAAACTGATAGCTGGGATATTGGCTCTTATGTACTCACGTATACTAATCCCTTTGAGAATTTTTTTTGAATGAATTAAAATAGTTCCCTGATTCAACAAAGAAGTATGAAGAAAATCATTTAGTGAACCTGTGAATTTTGCCACAAATCCTGTACTAAATAAATGCACACAAGCTTGCAATTCTGGGCATATGTAACATTCCATAAAATTTTCCAAGTTGACACTTTGAAACATAGTGTGTGTATATGTGCATATGTGATGTATATATAGTATGTTTTGAAAAATGGTGAAGTTGCTACCCTAGACAGAATTACTTAAGAATCATTGCGCTTCTGAATAAAGATATTTGGGCTTTTTATATTCTGCTTTTGATTATTGATAGGTAGAACAAACCTATGACCCAGCTTTTACCTCTAAGCTGGAACTTGCCTAAGTGATTAATAGGGATTTTAATATGTTAAGACTAGTAGAAAAGATAATTATAGTGATAGTTACTTAAGCTGCATGGTTGTAAATTCTGTTGGTATTCCCACTCATGTTGCCTATCTGAAATAAATACCATAGAAAGCAACAATCAATATGTGGTGGTGCTTTTTAAAAAAGGACAGTAATATTCTAAAAACATGCTATACCTTGTCACAGATACTGTACTTAACTCTTAATAGACAACTGATACAAGCTGCCGAATATCCAAAGTTAAATTTGAATTCTCTGGCACCCCACACAGAGCTAGACGTAAGGGATAAATAAATTCTTTTGACAGAGATACAGTCAGGATAGAAGGGAAAGAATGTCATTCCAATCACAACAGTCAGTCAGTGTCATAGTATAAGTGGCCTGTGCATAACATCCATAAGCAATAGGTCTCTAAGAAATGAATCTGAATCTGACTGAAGTACAAAAACACATATAAATCAAAACAAGAGTCTCATTCTACTATGTAGTCTATGATGAAACCAATTTTTATTGCCTAGATTTAAAATATAAAGAAATAAATATTCATTCTGCTTATGATGTTTTATTTTATTGGTTTTATGATGCTTTATGAGTTTCACTTATTGTATGCAGTCTGGCTCCATAGGACACAGGTGGAATATACATAAATATAAATAAATAAATGGATGGATAAATATGGAATCAAACATCACTGAAAAACACATGAGGCTGCAGTTTTGAATCTTAATTAGAGCTTCCAAGTCAAACTTGCATTCCTAAGACTAATTGGAGTGACAGGTAGATAGACCAGCGGTGTTATCCATCTAATAATACTTTGTATTAAGTGATAGGTATTTTTTGTGGGAGGAATGATTTGGCAAATGCAAGTTTAAATGTCAACATGAATCTCACTAGGTGACCATGTGCAACATTACTATATCTTGGAAGAACCAACTTATAGGCTTGTTGTGAAGAAAAATGACAGAAGAGTTACATCACACTGAACTGGTCAGAAGAAAATCAGGAAAATACTTATAATTAACTGATTGCTTTATAATTTGAAGTTCTTTCCCATTATGAGCTCCATCATAAGAATAAGAATTAGGAGGTAGGTCTTTTATGTCAATGTAAAAACAAAAGACAAGTAAGAAATATTTCTTTTGTTGAGCAGCATCAGTAATCAAAAGTCCTGTGTCCTGAAGGTTAGATGACTGACAAGTCTTCCCTATCAATTACTATCCATCAAGCATTTAAAAAGTCATAGTAGCTTTGGAAAGGAAATTATTGTATTCTTTAAAAGAGTATCTACTGTTGCAAATCAGAAGTTAAAACCCAAAGAACCTCATTCTAAGCGTTGAATACAGTAAAATTCATCTTATTTCAAATATTCCTATATTTTTCATTTATATAAAGATTGTTATCTATAGTTTTAGGGGATAAAATTAGTTTACTATTGTATATTGTATATGCAGTGACATAAACCTATTGCACACTGGAGGTCACCCTTGTTACTTAGTCTACATTTTTGCAAAATACAGAGAATTGTATTTTATACGTACATTGGTGAAATGTCAGTTATATGGAGTTGAATGTTACAATCACCTAATCAGTAGAAAATGCTGAGAAAAATGTCTATAATTTACATTCAGTGATGATGAAAATAGCAAGTTCTTATATTATTAAAATATTAATATTGACTGCTGATTGAAAGATACTGAATTATTTGTGAATATTACATGATCTGCAATTTATCCTATGCTACTGAACAGAAATTATTTGATGCAGAAATATTTTGTGCTATGCGTGGTAACATCACATGTAAGAGGCTTTCAGCTGGAGCTTTTAATGAGTAGTCTAGGCCTTCTCATGTAATTCCAGATGACATCAGAAACAAACTAATCCTCTTGCATTTTCTGCCTGTTTTCTCATTCAGTGAAGGAAGAAAATAATATATCAATAGCTTTATTGGAAACGAAGATAGCAAAATGTATAATTCAGAACCTGCAAAAAAATTAGTGCTATTGATCAATGATGTATTTTGGATGCCCCTTTTTCTATTACTTAATATGATTTTTAGTTCTCAGTACCACCTTATGTGGACACTACAAATCCTTCCTCTTAATCTACTGGCATTCATTGTTAATTCATCGCATCCTAGCATTAGACTCCATCAATCTACACACCTCAGTAATGAGTAGAATAACTGAAAACAAAATGCATTTTTAAAGAGTTTACGTGCATGGAGTCTGGATGTAGTCTTTTAAATTTGCAATGTTATTCCTTCCTAAAAAGTGTCCCTAACTGAGCTGCTTCCAGGAAACATCTGGGTTCTATCTATTTCCCACAGATAAGATTTACCTGGACAGGTGGTGTGTTGGAAAGTACAATCTTACATTAGTCAAGAGCCAAGTCATTGCATTTTATCTCATTCGTAGTTTAATTGTATTTTACAAAAGTATAATTCCAATATTTAAATATTAATTAAATATTGAAATTATAATTATATTTAATTAAATATGCTTACAATTTAAATTTAATACATTGATAAGTATTATATATACATATCATTTAAATATATAGATATTTAAATATTATTTAAAATCTAACTAGAACCGTGTTGTTTATATTATTTGGATTATATATTGTTTAGAACTTATTTTACCATCTATTTCATTTATTTCAATTTACTTGTAGTTTCCAATATGTTGTTTAGTGAGATGATTTATTCAAATAATCATATCATATTTAATAAAGAGCAGTCCAAGGCAAACTGAACAAATGTCTTTATCCATAAGCAACCAAATGAGAAATGGATTTTTATTCAGTCAAATCTTTTTAGTCAATGAAACTGCACTTTCATGCATACTGCACACAAGTGATAATTAATATAGTCTAATTCAGGACATGATACTTGAATTGATGTACTGTCATTGATACCCCATGTTAAAATCAAACCTTGACAGGAGTTTAATACCCTGGAACAGGTCATCATATGATAATACTTCTTTTGCTTTTCAGTATTTGTCTTCAGTCAAGCAAAGTATTACAAGATAGGTTAAAAAAAAGAAATAATTACAAATGAAGAATGACGCAGGCTGTGAATAGAACATATGTTAGGCTAGGCAGAGGCATCAGTGAATTATATCATTTTGTGATGAAGCAGCACTGAGGCTGAACGGACCTATTTCAGACCTTGATGTATTTTATCTCTACAGTATTTGGACTGTCATCTTTAGAGAAAGACTTTGTGTAATTGAGAGTCAACTCTAATCTTCATGACTCAAGCATGAAGCATAGACTAGATGAAAGTATTATGGAAGAAAGAGAAGCATCTAATAATGTATAAATGAGTTATAACCTGTTAAACCACAAACTTTCAGTGAAGTAATGTACAAAATATAATTTCCAAAGACATTAATTTCAAGTGTGATACATGTAACTCTTTAAAATTATATCAATTACAAATTTATTTTGATGTGTTAAAATAATTTTTATATACATCTTTAGAAATACTTTTGACTGAATTTCAAAGCCTGAACTATATTACTTTGATGATCAGTCAAGTCTAGAAGGTTTTAGATTGTCATATTGACTTAAAAACTATTTGACGAAAATAACAAGATTACAGTTTTAAAGCTTTCAGTTATTATTATTATATACACAGCAATGTGAAATTACAGCTGCCAGTTCTTTAGCTGGTGTTGACCTTCATATGCTTTAAGTTCTTCCCAAGAACCTAGGATTTAGGAATGTATGGTCATAATATATGTACAGTGTAGCTTTATGTGATTGATAGATGGAAATTTTATCAATGCACAATTTTTTCAGTGCTGCCCAAGATTTTTTGGTGTGAGACCCAGATTCACTGGGATCACCATGACTGGTTTATGGCATTATCTTTCAAATTTGATCTTTGTTCTTCTCCAATTCTTTGTCTTCTATTTTACTGTCCCCTGATAGTCCCATATCAATTATTCAGACTTTCTTCTTTTCAACCACAGTTAAATCTGGTGGCTTACAAACTTTATCAGTTTGCATTTGGAAATGCCACATTATTTTAATTTTGTAACAATAATTTTTATTATGGTTGATCAAACAGTAGATGTTTTGACTGGGTTTGGCATTTTTATTCACTTATTAAGTACTTCCCAAGAACCTGGGATAGACAGGTGTTGTTTATGGTATTAAAATTATCATTAAAGGATGTAAACTGTTTCAAGTAAAGCTGCTTTTTGCAATTGACTATTGGTGATTTTGTCAATGCCAATGGTGTTCAAGGGTGCGCCAGATGTTTTGGGACTGCATCTAAGCACCTATTACTATTGGTACTATCTTTGCTTCCCACCCCCCACCCCCAGTTCTACTTCTGTTTGTAGTTCTTTGTACTCTGTGATTTTCTCCAATTCTTTCTCATTTCTCATTCTCAATCAGGTTGTCTCCTGGTTTTGCTATGTCCATTGTCCAGATTTTTTTGTCTTTCTTATCAACAGTTGTTAAATTTGAGATGTTATGTAGCAGGCACTTATTTGTCTAAACTCCAAAGTCTGAAAACACTTTAGCTTTTTCATTTTTTATTACTTTGTCTATTTTGTGGTCCTATCGGTTCTAGCTTGAAGGTGAATGTTATTCCTTGCAAATATTCCAGTGCACTGTTGTTGCTATTTTGTCATGCCATTGTTTGTAGTCAGTGATCTTTTTGCAGCAACTATTTAGATGGTCAGCTTCCATTTGCTGGAAGAAGTACTTCTTGAAAGTAGATAGTGATACTTCTAAAATCACTCCCAGATGTTCATTTGTTCTTTCAGAGGAGGTGCAGTCTCATTCAAAGCAGTTAACATCCATCCAGTGGTATAGAAGAATGATTCTAAAAACTATTGAGAAATCATGGAAAATCAACAAGGTTGTATTGAGAAAACAGTGACAAATACTTCATCAATCCGTTATGCAGTCCTAAACTCAGAGTGGACATTGGGTTGGGTTTTTTTACAATAGCATCTTTAGCTGTTCTACCCCTGAACATTTATCTAAAATGGTATATTGATTTATTGGTTAAGGTCCAGTGTGTGTTTGAGGAGCGACTGCTACTGAGTATGTATGTCTCTTTCCTTAGACTAGATCAGATTAGCCATAAAGGCAGGGATCAAGCAGACATAAGATCAGAAACTTAACTTAATCTCTTTGCCTGTTTTATTATCTCTAGGAAAATCAAGGCTGTTTGCTGGGCTCATCACCAATGCAGAAAGCAGGTAGTGGTCTTGACAGCCATTGGAATCATAGCTTGTTTGTTAACAGGAATGTTTATCTTTTTCTGTTAGTGTAGTAGGACTGACATCAGACAGATACCTGTTGGGGACTTCAACCTAATTGTGCTAGCAAAGCATTATTAGGAATAACATGGAAGTGGACTGCTGTGGTAAAAAACCATGTCATTTTAAAGGTCCCTGCTCAAATGTGTAAATTTCACCTTATCACTTCATAATGAATTTTCTGTAGGTAGTATCTTGAAATGTGAAAAATCGAACTGTTATAAGCATTTTCACAGCATAATTTATAAATGTATGTGATTTAAAGTCTATTATTTTTTATGAAATTTGGCAAGTTTTATGCCCTTATTAATGGATTAATTTCATTCAAATAATCCATTATCGTAAGAAACTGTAAAGGTACAAGTAGTTAGTTGTTTGTTTTCATCAAAACCTCTAGTTTTCCTAAGAGGGAATAAATCAGGCATACCTACACTCCAGAACTAATGTAAATTGAGTTGAGTGCTTTCTGAGCTAATAATCAGTTTCTTTCTCTAAAGGATGTATTGGGTTCTTTTGCTCAGATATGCTTCTTGGCTTTTATTTTGTGTTGTGCTTAAAGATTGAAAACCTTGGTAAATTATATAGTTTCAGAGAAAATGATTATATGTGTAGGTTAATGCAAAAAAAAAAAAGCATCAGGATGTTAAGATTTTAATTAGATAACACTACTCTGTTTTCCCGAAAATAAGACCTAACTGGAAAATAAGCCCTAGCATGATTTTTTAGGATGCTCGTAATGTAAGCCCTACCCCAAAAATAAGCCCCAGTTAAGATCGTCAGCAGACAGAGGTGATTAGTACTGTATTTCCCCAAAAATAAAACCTAACCTTATTATGGAAAATAAGCTATAATGCATCTTTTGGAAGATGCATTAATATAAGACCTGGTCTTATTTTGGGGAAAACATGGTAGACTGTTGGCCCATTAAAACCTATTGGTTGCTGGATTTGTCTTCATTGAATAGGGTTGTAGATGGATTCTTATTCAGTTTATTATGCCATTCAGAAGAGTAATGCAGCTGGACATCTTTCTAAGCTCCTTAAAGAACTCCCTGCATGTGGTTTTTTAAACCTTGTAAAGTAATTGGATTTGTTAACCAGCATTTACATATGTGTGCTGAGTGACATCTGAATTTATATCAATGCATGGGAAAAAAATCTGTATGAAAACTTAAAGGAGACATCAGCTCAATATAATATGCTGATGATACTCAGCTATATGTCTCAGCCCGTGGTGAGTTAAGTGATGCCGTGTCCTCCCTCTCGCAGTGCCAGGAGGCTGTTAGGGGCTGGATGGGGAGCAAATGGGTTGGGTTGAAATGGGATGGGTTGAAACTGAACTGATCGAGTGGCTATGGGTTTGGGGTTCTTTGGGCCAGGGAGAATTGTATTAGATGGGGTGGCACTACCCCAAACAAATCCTGTGTGTAATCTGGGGATTCTTCTTGACTTGCAACTCCTGCTCGAAGAGCATGTGGTGGACATAGCCAGGAGGGACTTTGCGCAACTGCAGATTGTGCGCCAGTTACGCCCTTTCCTGGACCAACAATCCCTATTCACAGTCACTCATGCCTTAGTCGCTTCCCATCTTGACTATTGCAACACGCTCTATATAGGGCTGCTCTTGAAGAGCATCCAGAAGCTCCAGTTGGTGCAAAATGCAGCGGCCCGCATGGTTTCATGCAGACCTCGATATGCACATGTATCACCTCTCATGCGGGAGCTGCATTGGTTGCCAATTTCCCTTTGGGTGCAATTCAAGGTGCTGGTTGTCACCTTTAAAGTCCTTCATGGCTTGGGACTAGGTTATCCGAGGGACCATCTCTTGCTGGTCACATCTACTCAACCCACCAGAGTGGGGAGGCAAGGAATGTTGCAGGTCCCATCCCCTAGGGAGATACACCTGGTGGGACCCAGAAGAAGGGCCTTTTCTGTGGTGGCTCCCTCTCTCTGGAACATCATTCCCCCAGAGATTAGAATGGCCCCCACTCTAACACTCTTCTGGAAGGCACTGAAGACCTGGTTCTGCCAGCGGGTCTGGGGAATGCGGAGCGGGATGGAGCCCATTAAATGGCTCTTGTGATGTGTTGTCACCAGGGTAGTGGTGGGTTATTTTATTATATTATATTATTTTATTAATTTATTATATGATTATTCTCTTTTATTAGTTTTATTGTTTTATATATGAGGTTTTTATATTCCTATAAGCCGCCTTGAGTTGCCATGTGCATGGAAATAGTGCAAGTAGTGTGGATGGCTCTGGCTACTATGCATTTAGTTGCAAGTAACTCCTTTTCAATCAACTGATTAAATTGAGAAAGCTAACTATTGCCCAAACTATTTCACCTTCCAAGATGTTCTTACCTTGCCAGCACATAAAGTCTATTCAAAGAAATATTCAAAGAAAGAATAATTTTTCAAATAATTGGGGTGGGGGTAACCAAATTAAATAAAATATATATTTAACAATTTCCATTTTGGCCTATATTAAATTTTTTTTTTTGCACATTTAGTAAGCAAAATGTGCAACAAAATTAATATACTTCATAAGATTTGATTTGATTAAGTGCCATAAAGTCATTTTTGATTCTTAGTTACTACATACATTTTCTTGCTGACAATGTCACAACGCATTGGGCAACCCCGCTGAGATATACTCTTGGCACACATTCTCAAGATTGTTCACTCATCCCACCCAGGAGATCCCACTATCATAATGAAGCAGCACTGCAAGACCTGGGAGGACATTAAAGAAGAAAGGGATAAATCTGAGTTTGATTTTGTTCCTGATGAGTTTGATTAACTCAAAGCTTTGGGATGAATATGAATCTAGATGTTTTTATCTAGCATTAAATAAAAACAAAACTTAGGATCTGCCAGAATTTAAGACATATACAAGTACATCTTTTATCCATTATGCTCGTATTACTTACTTTGTAAAACTAGAAATGTGTCATAATATGATATTTTAAAATATACCATATAACTATGCATATAACAGCAATGGATCATTACTTTTTACATAATTAATGTATTGTTGGATAATATATAAAATATTTTAAACTCTTGCATATTTTTTCTGAACAACAGAGAGTATTGATGAAGTGTAACAAACTAGTTCACTATTGTTTAGTTAATTACAGGATTTCCTTTCCAGATTCCAGTTTCATATAGCAGCTGGTCAAAATTAGTTACTGTCTGTAACACCAATCTAATCTTTTAGCATGAAAATTAATTTTCTACATTTTGGCGTACGAAGAACATAGAGTGCCCCCTTACCTCATTACCTGAAATTTTACAGTGGTAGCAACAGCAGGAAAAGTTATGGGACAATTTTTACAAGTCAAAAGTAGAAGCATTGGGAGTGCTGACATTCATAGACTCTGTTGATATAGCCCGTTCTTCTTCTAACTGTGATAACATGTAATTGTTTCATGCTAGTTTATTTTTCTGAGTAAAGCAACATGTAGTTTATGACTATTTTACTTTGTAGCTTTTCTTATATCAAGAGAAAAAATAACAGTATATATTTAAAATCCATCTCAGGTATACTAATTGGTAACCTTAGTGACTCCAGTTGGGATTCAAAATGGGACAAGTTGAAATGGGACAAGTAATTTAAGTTGTTCTTTGCCGAGATGGGAAATCCCATAAAATTAAGAAGAGAAAAGTTAGATAATAGACAATAATATGGGTTGAGTAACACTAAGAAAGAAAAATATGGCTTATGAAAGATCAGTTTGTGTTCATAAAAATGAATATTTACTAAACACATCCAGTACCAATATTGTTTTTCCCAAAACAAAACTTAATTTAAAATACTACATATAAGAATTTTGCTGTTTAGTTATATTGAAAATGTTTTGGTGCAATCATATATAAGCCTAGCCTCAATGGTATCAATAATTCCATTTCACATCCTGTCAATTGTATTTGGCTCAACGAATCATTGTAAATATATAATTTGCTAGCAAATAACTAGAATTAGGCACAGAGGATGAATTCAGAATATCTGATTCCACACAAGTCTTACAAATGACAGAACTGAAAATTACTCTGGGCATTTCTAATAGCAGAATAAGAGATTTTTAAATAGCTTCCTTACGTAATTTGTTCATATGTCCAACATTTTTTTCAGAGTCTCTACTAAGCATTTCCTTTGCTGTATCATCAGTTTCTCTATTTTAAACCACTATGTTAAACCATTCTACGGGTTCAGACATATGTCTTACCTCTTAACATAATGTGTATAATACAGTAAAAATAAAAATTGATTTATCTAAAATAAATCTGATGATTTCTCCTCAAAAGCAGCTGCAAACTGCTGTTTATTTTAAGACAAAGGTGTTATGTGAATTCAGAATTATGTCTTCTCTATACAAAATAAGGAATTCAAACAAACTTTAATCAACAAGATGTTTTCTGTTTGGGTTATTTAGAATAAATAAACTATGGTGCTAGATTCAGAGAACACAATGTTTAAAGAAACCTCATTTGTGTGATTTGTAGCAGGTACCTCTTACATTCAGAAGCCTTTAGAAGTACTTACATATAAAACAAAACGTGGCTATATTATGCCTATGTACCACAGGGTGTTTTCAGGGTGTTACAGGAAAAAAGTATTTTCGGTGATACGTAAGTAAAACGTTAAAAGTTTTTGAACTATACAAATACACATGCACAACTTGCTAATCCTATGTTTAATAACAATGGTAGTAACTTTTAAACTTTTATCAGTATTGTTCAATGAAACTGTACATGGAAATGGCTTTCTTGCCATTAATTAAGTATAGGCAGATGGAGAATATTAGGTTTAGTTTTCTCTGGGATTGGAGCAGCTTGAAAAATTACACATATTTATTTCAAGCACACGCAGACACACAGAGATACATGCACACATACAGCTGAAAATAGCTTATCTTATTTTTCAAGACAGTCCAA